AATGTGGGGCTCATTTTTGTGTTCACTACCAAGAATAAAATGCTCCCACGCTGTTCTCTTAATCGCTTCATCTTTGAGTAAATTTATTTGATCATGTGACGAGCTCACCTCTTCTGTGCTTTAAAAGTTAACATAATTTTTTTGCAGTGCTCTTTCGCCTTCTAGTGGCACACGGTAAAAAGCCATGAACTGCTTCAGCATTTATCCAGGCAAAACCTTTTTACCCAGTTATGACATTTACAGCAATTATCCGGTTAACTATGTACATCCATACTTTCCTTTCTTCTAAGTCATCTAGTTTTAGAGCAATAAGTCTGATTATCTTCGGTGTTCTGTACAGGAGACCTCCACCTAACGTTTAAAAATTAAAGCCAACTTTATCTGTAGTTTTGTTCAGTTTAATACACTCTGATTCTCCCAGTTCTGCTTCTTTTTCTGTTGCTAAATAAAGCAACACTCAAAACACTGATTCATAACCATGAATGTGCTTCAGATCCAGTAAACTAACCAGTTTCATGATTACCTACTGAGAAATAAACCTAACAAAGGTACATGATCCTACCTTGGGGGGCTCCTGGGGGTTTGGTGGAGACTCTACAGGTGCTGGTGAAGGCGCCTTCTCCTCCATTTCTTCCATAACCTTTTCCTCTACCTCGGGCCGAATCTCCTCTACTTTTGGTTCTTGTTCCGACTCTGGTTCTGGTTCTGGAGCTGGTTCCTCCATCGGCTCCTCTACTCCATTACTGAGCAGGAAAAAAAAAACAAGAGTTGTCAGTTTAACAAATGATTTAAGTTTTAAAAACTAAAAGCTAAACTTGAGCTGTAGTCTGACAAACCACAGCACCAAATCTGAAGTTACTTAGATATAGACTTCGTTTACCACACCAGCTTAAGACACCATCTTTTTCCTGATTATTTGATGTATCCTAATGTAAATACTGCCTGACCTAACTTTGACTTGAATGTATGTTTGCACCTTGCCACCTAAACAAATTCCTAGTAGCTGAGCCCCTCACCTACATGGCAATAAATCGGATTCTGATTTTTGTCGATTAAAACTTACCAATTTTATTCTAGTATTCCTTGTTATGTTCTATGTTCTGTTTCTTTTCTAGTTTCATTGTTTTTCGGTTTTTATCTTGTACACAGAGTAGCAAAGTTGCCGTTTTTACCTTATTTTGCTGACAGTTCTGGCTTCTTTTGCTTCACTAATGTTGATTGTGTCATTTACAAAGATGAAGCTATGACAAAAGCAACAGTAAGAAGCCAAAACAGTCATGGTAAATATGAAAGAAACTTTGCTACTTTGTGTACAAGATAACAATTATTCTAGTTTTATTGCACCAAAGCAATAGCAGCTCCTAATATACACAGCTACAAGACTCCTACAGTGCTGTACAGTCGAATTCTACTGTTATTTCTGCTTCTTGTGTTAAAATTAGAGTTTGACCCAAAATACTACTATTCTAAAGCCTTTTTTACAAAACAATGCTGTCTATTTGATGCCTCAGGTCATTAATAGGTTGTCGGTAATGTGGTGCAATTGTATTCTTTATATAAAAGATTTGGCAATGGAGGCATAAAGAGGGTATGGGGGTGGTCTCTGTGCTGCCGCAGACTTCTGTTTATCTTGAACATAATTAGCTTTTTAATGCGATCACGTTATTCTAAGCCACTGCTAAAGGCAGCTGTCCTCCACACTCCCCATGCAGTCTCTGGTGATCCGAGCTCCAGCTAACCTGATTTTGTTCAAAAAGCAAAACTCACGGCCCGTGTTTACTTTCATTTTCAATGAAGTTACCAGCCAGAGCTCGGCAGTAACTCCCTATGTCAGGGCAATTCAATTCTGGGCCTTGAGGGCCGGTATCCAGCACGTTTTAGTGGTTTCTCTGCTCAAACACACTTGCTTCAGAGGTTGAATCACCTGTGCAGCAGCTCATCAGGCTCTGCAGAAGCCTGTTAATCATCTGCTGATTGAAATCAGGTGTTTTCAAGCAGGTTAAAACCAAAACGTGCTGGATACGGGCCCTTCAGGCCCAGAACTGAGTACCCATGCCCTACATCATCATGACACCTCCCTCTGTTGCACCAAGGTGCAATCGCTGTTTATGAGACAGACAATTACTGCAATATTACTACCAAGCGAGGCCAAATGAATGCTGCAAAATTAGTGCAATACCATGCCGGCACAGCGCATTTATAAACACACAATGTTGCGGTAATATTACGCTGATTTGCCGGCATGGTGTCATGTAAAAAAGGCTTGTGTTCATGCTGTTGTTGCTAAGTGTTCAAACTATTTTTTCATGCCAACAATGTGCCTCAGGAAGCAGTCCACAGAAAAAATCCTGTTTTCAAGGCAGATGACTAATGTGAGCAACTCTTATTGGAACAAGCAAGTTTGAACGTTTTTCAGAATTCTCCCTCCCCCCCTTGAAATTTTTACCAATAAAGCGCTCAGCTACAACCCTTTCTCACTGGATGTTAAGTTAGGCAAGAGTTCCTAGTTATAAAATACAAAAACTGAAACCTCTGCAGCCCAGTCGCTAAACAGCTACAACTACACCCACAACAAAGTGAACTAGTAGAAATTTTATCCAAATAAAAATGCTGTTGCCCAAATGAGAGATGAATAAATACTGTATAATTGAGACCTGTAGTTAGTATTGCACTCAACAGGCTGCCTCAAAGGTAAGAGGGGGAAACGTTGCACAATCTGGCTGGTAACAACTGATGTCTTATGTTAACAGGAGAAAAACACCACCGTGCATGAAGGGTTTTATTTTTCTTCACAGATATAATTAATCTGAGACACCTCCTAATAAATCAGAAAATAGATTTATTGCTGCAGATTCTCTACACAGAATAGTTTCTAAATGTAACCGATTTCCCAAGATGATGATCAATTTAGCTCACGTGACAGGGTGAGGCTCATAGTAGGTGGTGCTGTTGGGGCTCTCCTGAAGCGGCTCAGGTGATGGCTGCCTCTCCTCTGCCTCCTCCTCAACCTCCTCCTCTGATTCTAGATGAAAAGTAGAAAATACATCAACACTAATCACACCCATCAACACAAAAATACAGCAAGTTAGTAAAAAGCCATGAACACGGTTCAAAAGCACCTCACCTTCATCCAGCTCAGCCTCAGAGTCTCCAAAGACCTCATCCTCATAACAGAAGATGTCGTTGTGGACATAGAACTTGTTTGCCACGGAGCCCTGGCAACATAGTTCAGACATTTTAATGCAGATCATTTAAGCTTCACCATAAAACAATGATTTTAATTAACCATGCCTGACCTTTTTGCTACTTTATGATGACAGTTCAAACATTTGACCATTATGACATAGGTGACATATATACTGCATTTTAATACAAGATTAATATAAAAGTAATGTCTGTGGTAAGTTACTGGTTAGGAGTCGATTTCACACTTGTGAACTAATCTGAACGTTGGGAGCACTCACCTCTGGAGCAAGCACGAATGTTTGCATAAATTTCCTCATAGGTTGACCGTTGTTTGACAGTTCTCCAAGGACCTGAACCACGACTCCATCACTCAGAGTGGCATGGGCATCGACATGCCGGATCTTTGTGTGGCATTCACTAAACTGCAGGGACATGACTTTCTTGTGGATTTCCTGAAGGGTGTGGAGCCAGAAAGAAAAAGAAAAACCCAGAATTCTAGGGTGGTCAATCCCCATTTTAAAAACCCCAACTTCAGAATATTCCATTTCAAAAGCGTATTAACAAAGAGAATTGTCATTATCAAGCTGTAGCACCTACCGCTTGCCCGTACACTGCTTCTGCCAGCTTCCCACTTGTGTCAAGCCCCCCGTGAACATAGGAAGAATTCCTTCCATAGAACCTGAATATACAGTTAGTCATAAAAAAATACAATGTTGTCTACATAAAAAAGCTTAATTACATTTATATACTTACCTGTGAAGAAAATCTGGTGCCTTGTTCAAGAGTGTGTAATACTGCCTCACAAACTCCCGCCCTACAAGCAGGGGACTTGGCTTCTCCATCACCATTTCTTTGGTAAACAATATTAAGTGCTAAAAAAAAAAAAAAAAAAAAAAAAAAAAAAAAAAAAAAAAATTAAGAATGTGATCTCAAACACATAGCTACAGTAAATCAGGGCAAAAAAGTTAATATCTAATTATAGAGGACAACATTTGAGGAATTTATTGCCAATAAAAGTATTAGAAGAAAGTAGCTCAGGAGGTAGAGTGGGTTGTAGGATTGATACCGGCTCCTGGAAGAAAATTCTGCTGTTGTGTCCTTCAGCAAGACACTTAACCCTCCCTGCCTGCCGGTGGTGATTGTCGGAGGGACCGTTGGCGCATGTGCTCGGCAGCCTTGCCTCCGCCAATGCACCCCCAAGGCAGCTGTGACTACACTGTAGCTTATCACTACCACTGTGTGAATGCACGAATGTTGCACTGAAGTGTAAAGCGCTTTGGAGTCCTCTGACTCTGAGAGGCGCTACAAGAGCAGGTCATTTATCATTATAGTCCAACTCTAACCTGTTAGTAGTTGGGAACACTGACTAATTGATTACTCATTATTGAAATTCAAGTTATAAATTACTTGAGAACAGTTACATCTTTATGCTTTCTGAGCCTTAGCTGAGTAACAAGGATGTGTTTATGTAAACAAGAAAAAAATGTCTAACTCAAATATTGTTTCCTTTTTACACAACTGCTTCAGTTTGTTTTGCTTGTTTAATGGCTAAAATTTTACTAACACCATGGTCACGAACAGATGGCAAAAAAATCTGACCGTCAGACTCAATGATTCGGATCTAAATTTCAGCAGAACAGTACCTGCAGTAGTGTAAAATACTTAAATCCTTTATCATGAAAAATGCTGACATGTGCAATTCTGAAGAGTTCACTGATTTTCGTAACTTAACTGATTAAGACAATTTTATTAGAAGAGACCCAAGTGTTTTTTTATCTTTATGACACATTTCACGTGACAATTTTATTCAGCATTTTGCTATAATTATAAACATTCCTTTAAAGACCCAGACAGTTCACGTAAACAATTATATAATTAAAAAACTTGACTAAAAACATCACCAATAAAGATCACCAATTCACCTACAGGTGATCCTTATCTGGTCACAATCTTAGCTAAATCATTTGCACAATGGCTAACATTTTAGCCAACATTCAACTGCGCCATCAGAATCATGCAATCAAACAAAGGGGGAAACCGGGTGTAAATAAAAAAAAAAGGGAAGCGTCTTGTGCAGACGTTCGTGAATATTGGGAGATTTACACGGGCTTTACAACAAATCAATTCCGCTTCAAAGTTAATAGTTGCATACATGTGTTAGACATATCTGCGCAAATCTTTGTAGATGAACGGCCTGGTGTATGAGGCCTTTCATGTCTGTGCTGACAACACTTTGCTAATCTCACATTTGTCGCATGTTCACAGACGACATGACGTGACCGATTCGTTTTTTTTTCTTTGTGTGCTCAGGTTGCAGACATGTCAGGAACACAGTGTACCTACGCTGACAGCTAACACGAGATAAATCATACAGTAAGAACAGAACGTAAATGTCCATTTACAGACCACATCACTGTCACCTGAAATGGCTAACGCTAACCCAGGAAACAACAGCAACTTCGAGTTTAGCAAGCTAACTAGCGCTGGCTAACTTGTGGCGTCGTCGTTTTTCCTCCAGCTATGGGCACTTTGTGAGTCGGGGAAAGCTTTAAAATTTGGCAAATGTTCAGACGTTACAAGAAAGCATTGGGAATAAACTGCCAACAAATTGTTACCAACACTTTACATTCGTACAAAACCAGAGCCTTTCATCCTAATATGAGTGCTGAAAGCTAAGTCAACATGACGTTACCTCACCATAAGACATCAGTGGACTTGAAATTAACGTTGAATCAAGAACTATCAGCCCTTTAATTGCCGGTAAAGCTTTAGATAATAGACATATTACGTTTTGCCAAACTTTATTAACCCAATCAACAACTTACACTTTCGAACTATTAAAACGAGAACTAAGATAAAAGAAAACAAGTTGACAAACCGAATGAACATTTAAAATGTCAGCGTTCGTGGCTAATGTGGTTATTTTTGACCATTAACTAAACAAAGAGTTAGCAACTTCGGACAACAACTGTTTGTAACTAGGTAATTGTGGTTTAGACAATGCAGATTAGCTTGCCGGTTTGTCTGGTAGCTGATTTAGCTAAAAGGCTAACTTACCTTATGAAGGACCTATCTATGGAGACAGAATTCAAGTTTAGTAAATAAATACGAATGGTCGACTGTAAACGGTTCTGAAATACAACGTATTTCAGGTAATTGTGTGCACTCTCTACCACAGCCGTATATGATCTCTGCTGTGCCAGAGATTGACGATTTCGTAGTGATGCCTTCGATTTATTTTTTCCACCCCTGCATTTGGGGCAGGGAACCCCCGTTGACCTAATTTAACCAATGGATGGCTTACACTAGATCATATGAAGTGTGACGCAGCACATAAAACCGCGCCCACTACAAACTTTCTCCATCATGTGCCAGAACAGAATGTATGGAGTTTTACAAGTTCCATTATGTGGAACAAAAAAAAAAATAATAATAAAAATAAAAAATAAATAAAAGAAAAAAAAAAGGGGAAATTGTTGCGTAACCCTAATGTGTAAGCATGTGCAATTCAAATCTCTGTTTAAAGGGATACTTTGCAACATTTTCATATTTTTCAATCATTTTCTTCAGCCAGTATGCTAAAAATGACCCTTTACAGTGTTAATGAAATGTCACTTAGACCTAGCCTGGCAAGCTAGACTAAATAGATATATGTAGTGGTGGCTCATTACATCAGGATACAATACATATGGCAGAATGCTAATCTGCTCTTCATTGGGAAAATTATTGAAAAAGCTGTTATGATCCAGCAGAACAACTTTTTAGAGACAACCTGCTAGATAGTTAGACAACACCAAAGCACTGAGACTGCACTTAATAAAGTATTAAATGATATTCGTCTAAATACAGTTTCAGGCAACACATCTGTCCTTATGATGCTTGATCTCAGTGCAGCTTTTAATACTGTGGACCACAACATCCTTCTTGATAGGCTCATAACCTGGGTGGGACTTTCAGGTACAGTCCATAGTTGGTTCCAATCTTATCTTGAAGACAGGTGTTTTGTTTCTATTGGTGATCACAAATCAAAGCTGATCACTATGACTTGTGAGGTCCCCCAAGGCTCAATTCTCAGACCACTGCTCTTCAATCTCTACATGCTCCCCCTGGGTCAAGTCATACACAATAACAGCATTGCCTATCATAGTTATGTAGACGACACCCAGATCTACCTAGATCTATCACCTAGTGACTGTGGTCCTCTAGACTCACTCTGTCAGTGTTTGGAGCAAGTCAATGACTGGATGCAGTCAAACTTACTCCAGTTAAACAAAGACAAGGCTGAATTTATTGTCTTTGGAAATAAGAAGGATAGGTTGGAGGTTATTGATCAGCTTGGCTCCAGAGGAGTAAAGACAAAGGACCAGGTTAGAAATGTTGGTGTCATAATTGATTCAGACCTGAGCTTCACTGGTCACATTAGGGCTATAAATAGATCAGCGTTTTATCATCTTCATCAGATAGTACCACTCAGGCGTCTCATGTCCAAACAAGACCTATAGAAACTCATGTGTTCATCTCTAGCAGGCTGGACTATTGTAATGGACTTTTGACTGGTCTTCTCAAAAAAACTGCAACTGCAGCTTTTTCAGAATGCTGCTACCAAAGTCATAACAAGAACCAAGAGAAACGAACACATCATTCCTGTTCTTAGATCTCTACACTGGTTTCCAGTAAACTACAGAATCAATTTCAAAGTACTTCTAGTAACTAGTTTATAAATCACTCAATGGCATGGGACCACAATACATGTCGAATCTCCTTCAGGTATATATGCCCAGCAGGGCTTTGAGATCCCTAGGAAACAGTCAGCTGGTAGAACCCCGGGTCAGAACCAAACAGGGTGAAGCTGCTTTTAGCTACTATGCTTGCTTTTCTTGCTAATGGGAAGCACACTGAATTGCCTCTGTGTATAAAATTTGCTATATAAATAAAGCTGCCTTGCCTATAGAAAGCTGTGATTGGCCAGCCAGAATGCTGCTAGGGGCTGTGGAGGTTCCAATGGCGCATTCCTAGACCAAACATTGCACGGCAAGATATTTGGTCTCATTCATTAGGCTAACTCAGACCCCTCGCTGCCTTCTGTAGCCAGAATACCGCATTTGCAACTTCAGAGTGCCAGTCTAATGTTTCAGTAATTTTGGAAGGAAGGATATACTGAAACATATTTCATATCTAGCTGGCTGCAGGGATTGTCAGTTTTTCTTCTTGCAAAACAAAGAAAGGAGGGGCGTAACCACTGTTTACCATCAGTGAGTGCGGGGCTGTCGTATCTCCTGTGAGCTAATACTGCAGTGCCGGCAATGGCTGGCAAAAAACTCCAGAGTTGTTTGAAGTGGTTGCATTAACCAAAATCTACCACAAAATGTAATTTTTACTTCATTTCTACATAATGCACATTTAATAAATTATATTAATGTTCACTCAAACTATTAATTCACCTTATTTATTCATGACATAAATGTAAAACATACAGAAGCGTATTGCATTCAGCCACAAGAAAATAAAAAGCTCTGTTTTTCCAAATTAACAAGATATTAAAAAAACTGCTCTATTTTTCCAAATCAACGAGATAATTTTTACAGAAAAAAACGAGAAAAGAAATAAAATAATCCCTCTGAAGTGCTAATGATGCTCTGCTGCATTATTGACAGGCTAACAGAGGAATTAAAACAATTCTCGTTTGCTTAGTTTAATTCACTTTCACTTTGTTTTGGGACTGAGACACCGAGTGAAATAGCTACTGGCTCTGAACTGAATGGGCAGGAAAAATAATTCAACCCTGGAATATCTCCGTCTGTCCAAGTGTGGGTGTGCGGAGTTTGGAAAAACTCTTCTGAAGTAGCAGGATGACCCCTTGAACAATGGAAGAAGCCTCCTGTAAATGCACACATCTCATTTTTCTGGATACAAAGTCATCAATGAGGTGATCTGATGTTGTACTGCTTCTGAGCTGAGTTGATGATAGCTCAGACAGACTTAGTCCAACATGTATGGAGGTTTTTCTACATATTAATTATACACCCACGGATTGAAAGACTATGAACCTAAGTATAAGACAACATAACTATAAGACAGAGGTAAAAGTTTATGCTTTTAACAAGATATTCAATAAATGATAATCAGAGCTGCTGTAAATGTAATCTCCAGTTCACATTCAGAAAGAAATTTCCTCTCTTATGTCTCATGATCAGCAGTAGCAGGGATGTTTATGACCACAAAGTTGTTGTTTTTTTCAACAACATGGCCACTTTCAAATGAGGCACACTGCTCTTGTTATGACATATTTTTTCTTGTGTTTGCTCACTATATTTTTGTTTGAGTGCCATCTATTATCCAACTCCAGGGATCCACCTGAGGCCAGGGTTCACACTTTTTTTCTGTGTTTGCAATAAAGTTCAGAGTTTAAATTGTTCATTTTAAATTGTTTGCCCAAGTCATTTTGAAGTTCCTATTTAGTAAAAAATGTACTGTATTTTTTTAATCACTATTACTTTATTATTATACCACTAGAAAGAAATAATGAGGGAAATATTCTGGATCAGCACCATGAAGCAAACTTATGGCCATAGTATTGCAGTATTCTGGAAATTATATGATGCCACTGTGTGTGAGTGTGTGTGTGTGTGTGCGCGCGCGTGGGTTTGTGTGTAAAATATACAAAAATTCTATATTTTTGCAATTATTTTTGCAATTACCATTTATTTGGGGACAGGAGTGTTATAATATAATGTTAATTGTTTATTGTCATTATTATGATTATTAGTATTATTATTTTTATTATAAAATTAATAAAAAATGAAACAGCTATTTAATGTTTTGTTTTGGTTTGTAGTGGAACGTATATATTCTGTGTGAATAGGCAGGAGAGGAAACCAACGTTCAGGCCACAAGTTCAGTGTAGCCATGGCGAGGTAAGTTGCATGTTAGATTAGCTTTAACAGTTAGCCTGTTAGCCTGGCAGTTATTTATTTTTTGTTTCTGCTTGTTTTTCCGTATTTCTGTAGACCATTTTAGCCTCGAACTGTAATAAAAATGAAGCAATATACTTTCTATTAATACTAAAAGTCTAGGCTGTATCAACTTGTTGAACAGTTAACGGTTGTTAAAACGGAGCTCACCAGCAACGGTTAAACTAGCTTAGGTTGACGTATACGGCCCCAGATGTCCACTTTTCAAACCCACCCTGTCTCATGTAATTTCGTGACACTTAATCTAACATTTCGTACTCTGGACACGAATAACTCTTTTTTTTCTGGGCTACTCAACACAAATTTCAGTGTCATTAAAAGGTTTATTATAATTCATCACTTCCGTGTTTTAAAAAAATGATTTAGAAGTATTTAGCTTTTAACTCTTGAATCAGCCTTTCGACACATGATTTTATCCTTGTTTTATTTACGTTTTAATCATTTAGTCATTGGTTGTAAATTTTAAGGCAATTTTGCAGAATCGCTAAAAATTTAAACGAGCTGATCGTCTAATCTCACAGCTGACAACGCCATCCATCCATTTTCATCCGCTTATCCAGAGTCGGGTCGTGGGGGCAGTAGCCTAAGTCGAGAGGCCCAGGCTTCCCTCTCCCCAGCCACTTGGGCCAGCTCCTCCGGGGAAATCCCAAGGCGTTCCCTGGCCAGGTGAGAGACATAGTCCCTCCAACGTGTCCTGGGTCTACCTTTAGGCCTCCTCCCGGTTGGACATGCTCGGAAAACCTCACCAGGGAGGCGTCCGGGAGGCATCCTGACCAGATGCCCGAGCCACCTCAACTGGCTCCTCTTGATGTGGAGGAGCTGCGAATCTACTCCGAGCCCCTCCCGAATGACCGAGCTTCTCACCCTGTCTCTAAGGGAGAGCCGAGCCACTCTGCGGAAAAAAACTAATTTCAGCCACTTGTATCCGCGATCTCGATCTTTCGGTCATTACCCAAAGCTCTAGGTGAGGGTAGGAACGTAGATCGACCGGTAAATCGAGAGCTTTGCCTTCTGACTCAGCTCTCTTCACCACGACAGACTGGTACAACGCCCGTATCACTGCAGATGCAGCACCAATCCGTCTATCGATCTCACGCTCCAGTTTTCTCTCACTCGTGATCAAGACCCCGAGATACTTAAACTCCTCCACATGGGGCAGGACCTCATCCCTGACCCGGAGAAGGCATTCTACCCTTTTACGAATCAAGACCATGGTCTCAGATTTAGAGGAGCTGATTCTCATCCCAGCTGCTTCACACTCGGCTGCAAACTGCTCCAGAGAAAGCTGAAGATCACGTTCTGATGAAGCCAACAAGACCAAATCATCTGCAAAAAGCAGAGAGCAGTTGACAACACATTCTTAACCTGTGCACATGGATGTTATACACATGAGGTAAAATAATGTCTTAATATAACGTTACAGCACTAAAGCAGCAGAAAAAATATATTTTGCAATAAAGATGCAAAACGTTTACTTATGAATTGTTAACCATTTTTTGACAGAATCTAATTTAGGGTCTAAGCCAGGTGTTCTTACAGAACACTGGGAAAAAATGGGTCCCAACACGGTTTGTGTGGCGTTGCTATAGTGTGCGAAATCGGTAGGCACAGAACTCCTGTCCTCTTTTTTGGAAATGGAAATATGGTCACCCTAACATAGCTACATGGTTATGAAACAAGTATGAAGCTTGTGGTTCTGCTCCTCAGTCCAAAATGGTTTGTGATCATGTTGTCATCACCGTTGCAGCCACCATATTGGTAGCCTCATTACTGGTTTCTTCTGACAAAAGTCTTGTCGGCTTGCTTGAATCGTAGCTGTAAGGCTTCCAAACATCACTAACAGTGTTTTGACAGTGTGTTCTCTGAATTTTCATTCTGGTAAGTTACAGATGATACACTATTTTATGTCACTTCTTTAGTTCAACAGGTATTCTGACTATCCATGCTTCCTAGTCGAATTATCCTACCGCAGCGTGTTACCATAGTTTCACTCTTGTTTAGTCACACGCACAGTCTATTTTAAATAGATAATACATAAAATACAGAACTTTAGTTTAATTACTACAAAATTAAATAGAGTTTGTGCTGATTTATGAAAAAAACTGCATTTGTCATGATTTTGGGAATGACAGTAAACAATGGGAGAAAGTTCATGTTTACAGTAAAACAATATTCTACAAGCCATTTGCAGGCTAACTGTCAGGTAAACATGCAACAAGCAGTAATTGTCATGCTGGGCTGAAGTTTTCTAATCCACATGAAAGAAACACGAGGAGAGGTGAGTAAAATATGTTTTTATTAAAAAGAAAATTAATGAAAACGAAAAGCGCTGATCCAAACTGGGCCAGGGGGGCGTTCTGATTCTAAAACAGAAGATAGAAAAAAAAAAATGAAAACTGAGAACCAAGAAAACACTGGAGTAATGGAGGCGGAGTCTTACTGCACAAAGTGTGGGTCTGAGCTGGAGAGGGAGGCAAGTCAGGTCTGAGTTGGAGATGGTCTGATGGAGAGGAGTAGCAGGCAAAGGAGTAATCCAGGACAGGTGAGAGGTGGAGAGCGGGAGACCAGAGGAGTTGAGCGGCGTTGGGAAATAAATCCACTTCAGACTGCAGGAAGCTGAGGGTAAGAATCCAGGGCTGGTATTGGAGCAGACAAGGAGAGCAAAAACTGAGCACACGGGAGAAAAACACGAGCCTAGTTTCAAAAGGAACGAGGAGAGCTAGAGTACCCAACAAGCCGCTCCTTATATCCTCTGGCCTGGCTGGATGATAATCAGCTGCAGCTGTGGCTCTCCAACCTGCTCACCTGCAAACACTTAGGAGCACAGCCACAGAGAAAAAGCAGAACCATCACAGTAATATAACAACTTCCAGAAGTAGAACGTCTTTTCAGGTGAACAGCCTGTGACGTATTAGTTGGTCTGCACATGCACATTTCCCCAAACTAGCACATATTGATGAGTAGCACGGATAGTCGGAACACCGGACATGCGTACCGACACACCGTAGGGCTGGGCAATATGGCCTAAACTCAATATCATGATATATTGAGGATTTCATCTCGATAACGATAAATGGACTATAACTACAGGTATGTGCAGAAACAAAAGTTGTCCACTAGATGGGGCTGTCACATGTATTACGTTGAGTCACATTTTTACTTGACTCAATGCGGTACAGCTTCTTAAAGGGACATGAATGTTGCCAACCTACAAACATCTTTGCATTTTTTATTATCAAATTTATTGCGGTGGGAAAACTTATCTCGATAAGAGTAAGAAATTTCGATAATGATAATTTTCGATTTATTGCCCAGCCCTAACTCACCGGTAGGCTAATGCTGGCACACGGACACAACACAACTTCTTCTGCCACACTTATTTTATGGGATGACAATTTTGATTGTTTTACTAGAAAACTAGCAAATGAAACATGAACCTCTAATCCCGATGTTTACATCCGCACGTTTACATGTTGTTTAACACTTTCTCCCAAATCTGCTTCTTCTCTGCCATGTTCTGTTTGTTAGTACGGTTTGTTCACACTCAAAATGCTACCATCATGGCTGCCACGTCCCAGAATGCAACGAGTGATCACAAGCTCTTTTGGCTTTAATACAAATCTTTGGGATTTCTACACCCTGGGCCATTTCTGTATGGAGACACAACGACTGAGAGGACCGAGCCATCATATTTGCTCTCTCACCTTCTCCTTCCCAGAAATGTCCTGGAATTCCCGTGGTGGAAATGTGGCTATTATTTCTGTCATTTCTTTATTTTCTCTTTGGTCTCACAGTAAAAATTAAACCCAAAACTGCTAATTGATAATGATGAGCAAATGTACCATCATCAAAGGAAAAACAATGATATATTTGATCACTCTGGACATATTTTGTTTGTTTCACACCAATGTTGTTTGTATTGTCGCCTGTAGCCAAGGCTCAACTCATATATGCTGTTTTATATTAGAAAATATGTTGAGGAGCATACATATATGTGAAGAGCTAAATCATTTTGCTTCTGCTACTGTTTGTCTAGTTTTCTAGGAGATCTTAGTGTGACTTCCTCTGACGATGATGAAGTGTCAGAATGGTTTGTGGACATTCAAGAAGAGACTGCTGATGACCGCATGCTCAAGAGATTTGTAATGATACTCAAGGTATGAGTCTGTCACACAGTTGCAGCAACTCCAACCAAGTAGGTGCCCCTCCCCCTTACATCGCAGAACGTTTCACTGCATCCACA